TATAGAGCGCCTTTCACGTCAGGAGGACGTCCCAAGGCGCTGCACAGTTGGGTCATGACCCGAGCAGGGGGGAAATGGTCAGGGTGAGGGGAGGGAAGGGAGGGAGAGAGGAGGGGGGAAATGGTCAGGGTGAGGGGAGGGAAGGGAGGGAGCGAGGAGGAGGAAGAGGAAGAGAGTCGAGAGGGGAGCTGAAGGCACGGTCAAAGAGAAAGGTTTTGAGACCGGCCTTGAAGGAGGAAAGGGAGGAAGCAAGGCGAAGGCACTGGGGGATGGAGTTCCAGAGCCTCGGGGCTGAGAGGCTGAAGGCCCGACCACCGATAGTAGGGCGGTTGGGGCGGGGGACGTGGAGCAGACCGGAGCCAGAGGAACGGAGGGTACGGGCAGGTAGGTAGGGGGATAGTAGGTTGGAGAGGTAGGAGGGAGCAAGGCCGTGAATGGCCTTGTAGGTGAGGATGAGGATCTTGAAATCAATCCTCTGGGGGATGGGGAGCCAGTGGAGGCGAGCGAGGGTAGGAGTGATGTGGTCCCGAAGCCTGGTGCGGGACAGTACACGAGCTGCAGAGTTCTGAATGACCTGCAGCTTGTGGAGGGAGGTGGCGGGAAGGCCGGCGAGGAGAGAGTTCCCATAGTCCAGCCTTGAGGTGACAAAGGCGTGAACCAGGGTTTCAGCAGCGTGAGGGGTGAGGTAGTGCCGTAATCTGGCGATATTCCGGAGGTGATGGAAGGCGGTGCCAGTTGTGGTGCGGATGTGAGGGAGAAAGGACAGCTCAGGGTCGAACAAAACGCCGAGGTTCCTGACTGGCTTTGAGAGGTGGAGAGTGCAGCCTTGGATGCTGATGGTGTCAGCGCCTGAGGTGCGGAGGCGCTGACGTGAGCCAATCAGGAGGGCCTCGGTTTTTCGCACGTTGAGCTGAAGAAAGTTGTCTCTCGTCCAGGACTCGATGTCGGACAGGCAGGCTGTCAGGACATCGGTGGTCGTGGAGTTGAGAGTAGAGGAGGAAAGGTAGAGTTGGGTGTCATCCGCATACATGTGGAAGTTAACCCCATGTTTGCGGATGATGTCACCGAGGGGGAGCATATAGAGGGTGAAGAGGAGGGGACCGAGGACAGAGCCCTGAGGGACACCACATGAGACAGTACGGGGGGTGGAGGAGAAGCCATTCGTTGAGACGAAGTGAAGACGGTGGGAAAGGTAAGAGCTAAACCATTCAAGGACAGTGCCTTGAAGGTTGAGGTGGGAGGACAAGCGGTGGAGTAGGATAGCGTGGTCGACCGTATCGAATGCTGCCGATAGGTCGAGGAGGACGAGGAGACAGAGGGAGCCCTGGTCACAGATGGTCAGGATATCATTGGTGACCTTGACCAGGGCAGTTTCTGTGCTATGAGCAGCACGGAAACCTGACTGAAGGGGTTCAAAAAGAGAATGGGTGGAGAGGAAAGAGCGCAGTTGGGAGGCGACAACTCTTTCCAAGACCTTGGAGAGAAAGGGGAGGTTGGAGATGGGCCGGTAGCTTGATAGGTAATTTGAGATACCAACAGAAATAAAGTTCCTTCTGTCCAGAATCCCCTTAGAACTCTCCCCCAGCAGCGGGTGTGCATTTCCGAGCAAACCCAATGTCATACAGTAGACTCGCGGTGATTCCAACAGTGGTACATAGCCTAGCGGATCAGTTTAGCAGCAGAGGAAACTGCTGTGGTTTACCAGAGCATTCAAGAAATTAGGAATAAATATGGTTAACAGCTACCAAGAAATTAAGTGAAAAATACCAAACAAAAGTAACAGTGAAATGATAGATGAGTGAGATTAAGTAAAATGTAGTGAAATTGTAATAGCTCTGGGCAGGGAAATGAGCAGTTATCAACCTCTTTATAGCGTATCATCAATGTAAAACTCATAAGAGATGTTGGTTTGGTTCAGTGTTTGCAGTATACAGTTTCTTATTTGGTCCATCTACAGCATAATAGAAAGCCTTTCTAAAATGTCGATGCAATCAATTTATCGGTCGCCTTTCTTGACTTGAAAACTAATTCCCTTTGTAAATTTTTAATTGTCCCTGTTATCTTGGACATACCAATTCAACCCTCCCAAAAAAACTAAATTAATTTTAACTTGTTAGCTTGTGGGACTTTGCTGCCACAGGTCAGCTGCCATGTTTGCCTACATACCATTCTATATTAAATACAGCTTTATTATTCGTTTTCAGATTATTCTTGTTTTGATTGTGGTATTAAGTTAGGTTCCGTTTGTCTTTCATTTCGCTGTTTCATTGCTACTTGCTACAGTAAAACGTGGAGATTGTCTTATCTGTCTTGTATATTTGGACGAGAAAGGAATTCTCTTGTATTCCAATGAATCGTTTTCTAGTCTCGTTATTCGTGGGATAGATGATTGCCGTGTTAGCCTCCAGAAGAAATTTGGTTTCTAATTAAATTTAGTTTACTTTAAGATGTTTATTTTACAAGAAACTCATCTATAAATGCATGTTATTATTATTGGAAGTATAGTTTAGGAAATTCCAATACTTCAGGTTAGAGGCTTAAAGTTTGTTTCCAATCATAATGTAAGGCAATGTTATTTTGAAGTCCAATAGAAAAGTTGATTCTTTTCATTCATCTAAATGTTGTTCAAACAAATAGCATCAATGTATTTAAAAGAAAACTTGCTGTATGCAGGGGGAAGGAAAAAGAGGGATATAGGAGGGGTGGGGACTCCCATGGATTATAAACATCAGCGCTGACTAGTTAGACTGAATGACCTGTTTCCATGCCACATCACTCTATGTAAAATTCGTAGCTTGTGGACCTGTCACTTTTGATACAGCTACCTTGTTAACAACAACTTGCATTTATATAGTGCCCTTCACACAGGGTAGAGTCCCGGAATGCTTCGCAGTGGCAGAGTCTGACACTGAGCCATGAGTAGACCACCAAAATCTGCTTTATGCTGTACTGTAATCTTATATTGTGACTGTTTGATTCAAGGTTTTATCACTGTTGGTTATTGATACATTGAACAGACCTTCCAAAAATTTAAATGTGCCAAGGAAAACTAAGCCCAGAACACTATGAAATTGATACTAGCCAGCAGTTCTGTTTCAAGATCAAGAATGGCTTTATTTCATCGTGGATCATTCTTCCAAAACAATATCTGTGAATAACAAAGTAAACTGGCACAAAATACTAGAGCTTCACTTTTCACATCAATAGTCTTGTTCCCAGTTCAGTATTTTTTAAACAATTAAGTTGGTCAAATGTGTGCTTATCAGAGACCTTTATAGATCCATTTTTCTTCAATAGATTGTAAGTTTTCTGCCAAATGTTCGCAAATGAATAAAGAATGATATGTGCCTCAATCTGTTTTAAATGGTTTACTTGTACATGTTCAAAAGCTAAGTAAAAAGAGTTTTCTTCATCGTACTGTTGACGTAGTGAATCCCAAATATATTTTATTCGTGTTTAGAATATGAATTGCTCAGTTCACCTATGACCAATAAAATTGATCATTCATTTCATGCTATTTGTGGCATATTGCTGTGTGCAATTGTGTTGGTGCATTTGCCTACAAAATGCACAATGACTCCATTTCACAGTAATTCCTGTGAAGCGCTTTGAGATGCCCTTTCAACAAGATAAGGCAAATGGAATGATTATTAATTTAATTTGCTGATCTGTCTTGCGTACTTGGTTTTACATTTCTTATTACTGCAGCTTTGAGGAAATCTGATTTAACTAAGTTGTTCTACCATATGAATATTGTTCAATTATGTTGAAACTACAGTATGAAGTGGAGTCCTGTAGCTCAGTGGTTAGAGCACTCGCTTTGCAAGTGAGAGACCTGAGTTCAATTCCAGGCAGGGCGAAACCTTGGGCAAGTTTCCTTACTCCACACGCCTAATAATAATCCCTCCAAAAACAATAATAAATTGGTCATTTTCAATCTACGACTGTTTGTGGGACATTGCTGTGCGCAATTGGCTGCCGCATTCGCCCACAAATATACAGTCAATTCACTTTACAGTGTGTTCTGTGAAGCGCTTTGGGACGTCCTCCCAACGTGAAAAGCGCTATATCAAATGCAAGGATTATTATTATTATATTATGAAGAGGAGTAGATTTTCAAAGATTGTAGAATATAGTGCATGGATTGTTTGCTTGTGGAGATGATTAGTGTATTTTCGGAAGAGATTTTAGTGTTAAGTTTTCATGTTAGGTTATGTTTTTTTGTGACCTGAAATCGTACTTTGTAGATAATTGTCCAGGGGATGAGGTAAAATACTAAGGTCCTTGGCTTTGTTGAAAGCCTTCCGTACCTTGGGGATTTCAATATTTGCTTTTCTTCATCCCCCCCTCCCCCCCACCTCCAAACTAACTAAAAACACATGCATGGGAAAAAAGAAGTTTGACTTAGTACAATGGAAAGATCAAGTATAAGTATTTGACTAATGTAAATAAGAGCAGATCAGGACACTGGAGGGGTAAAAAAAAGCTGTAGGAACGTGGGAAATTCTGTCCAAAAATGATCAGGAAACTGCATCAGTCTCATAATTCCTTATTGTGATTATCGTGTACTTACAGTACAATCCCTTTTATAAGGCTGTCTGACGTACTCGGTGACCTGTGTTATAAATACCTCACAAATAATAATCTTGTGTAAAAACATCTTTATAACATGGTTTATGTATACCTCTTAACAGACCCATTTCCTTATGCTCATTTGAGTGTTTACCATCTGTTTGAAATGTGTGTTGAAATCGTATTCACACTGTAATCTATATATTGTAGAGGCTTAGCTCCCTCTTTACATATTGCATCTTTAGCACTGCAGAAATACATGGAACTTATTGACTGCTTTAAGACTATTTGCAAACATTTTCAAAATTCTAGCCAAACACTTTTTAAACAAGGTATCGGAATCGTGTTCACTTAAGATTATCAGCATTTATGATAGTTGCTCTGAGTGAATAAAGGAATCTGACCATGTTTCTTCATTTATTTTGCAGATCTTTCCATAGCTGTTCAGAAGTTTTCACAGTCCTTGCAAGATTTTCAGTTTGAGTGCATCGGTGATGCGGAGACGGATGATGAAATTAACATTGGTAAGCTTTGTATATTGTTGAATTGTTTCAGGAAATAGTGACATGAAGGTGAGTGTGCTCAGACAAACAATACTTGATCTTGTTGGAGGACAACATCCTGTTGCATCAAACAGAAATATTATTCCCCAAAATCACAGTGACCATGTGCTGTGGAACTCACTGCTGGAATCCCTGACTGGAAAAAAAAGCATCAATGTATTTAAGAGGAAACTTGATGCATACTTGAGGGAGAAGGGATGAGAGAGGAATAGGTGGGTGGAGGCTTATATGGTGTGGAAACATTGGCATGGACTGGTTGGGCCGAATGGCCTGTTTCTGTGCTCTGACGTTCTATGTAATCAACGGTTTCAAAAATCCTCATGAAATAGTTTTTTTGTTCACTGAACTATTGAGTTTTAGTTCTGGATTGACGACAAGGGTGATTACCCAGAACTTGAATAGATTTGTGTCTTTCAGACAAAGAGAAGAGAAAATGACTTTAAAATAAAGCTTCATTCTTCAAATTTATTCAAGGTATTTGATGAGTTTAAAAGTACAATTCTAAGGCAGAGAAAAATGGATTAAACTGATGGTAAGAGTAGGAATTCCCAAAGCAAATACCAGAAATCAAGTCATCAATTAAAGCTGTCATAACTGTAACATATTATCTCACATCATTCCATGCTCTCAACATCTGCTTGCTGCCTTAGAAGGAAAAATGAAATTATTTCCACAAAATCCTTGGTTTGGGGGAAAAAATGTGGGTGGGGGGGTGGAGGGTTAAGAGCTTTTACACGTGCTTATATAAAAAAATCATGTAGTTAAACCAGAGGCATTTTGTATAATTTACTACTGTCTGGGGTAGAGAACTGTTGCATGTTGCTCTGAACCTGCTTACTTTTGACCACTGAAAAAAATGTAGAATTGCCGCAGAAAACTCAGATCATAAAAATAAAGAGATCTTTTACAGCAAATCTCAGGTTTGTTTGGCAACTGGTAACTATAGAATTTTTTTGTGTATAGTCTCCTGTAAAGACAACCAGTTACTCGTAGAAGCTAACCTATCTCACCTCTTCTCACATTTTTTGATTCTTTCTCTTCCTTTAACCTAACCATATACAACAGGTGTTCCATTTATAATGGTGATCAATACCTCCATTGAGCTACCTCTGGAATTTATTATTTTAAACAGCTGTGAACAAACTAGGACCAAAACATATCCTGTAACACCAGCACCTTTAATTTCAAGATGTTTGTTAGATTTCGTTCAATTAATAATCTTTCAAATAAACTAAAATACATTGCTGATTCAACAAAATTCTTGACAAAAAATTAAAAATTCTGTTCAACCTCACTTTACAAGCTATAGTTTCATATAGAGTGAAAAGCGCCAGGATTAGAGTTGTAAAAGACAATTTGAGGGCAGACAAGGGAAGCATTTCTTTACTCAGAGGAATTGACTGGAATAGGTTGCCAGGAAGAGGGATAAATTTCCTTACTCCACACGCCTAATAATAATCCCTCCAAAACCAAAAACAATAATAAATTGGTCATTTTCAATCTACGACTGTTTGTGGGACATTGCTGTGTGCAATTGGCTGCCGCGTTTGCCCACAAATATACAGTCAATTCACTTTACAGTGTGTTCTGTGAAGCGCTTTGGGACGTCCTCCTGACGTGAAAAGCGCTATATCAAATGCAAGGATTATTATTATTATTATAAAGTGAAGGCCGTTTCAATAAGGCATTGAACCAGGCTAGTGTGGTCCCATTGAGGTGAATGAGGGAGGAGAGGCAGTGGATGAGGACAGCGTGGTCGACTGTGTTGAACGCGACAGAAAGGATGAGGAGGCAGAGGGAGCCCTGGTCACAGAGAGAGAGATGTTTGTGACTTTGACAAGCGCCGTCTCTGTTATGGGCAGGGAGTAAATCAGACTGGAGGAGGGAGTAGAGGGAGAGGCGTGAGCAAAGCTGGTTAGCAACAATGCGTTCCATAGCTTTGGAAAGGAAAGGCAGGTTGGACATGGGTCGGTAATTTGTGAGGTTGGAGGGGTCAAAGGTGTTTTTTTTTGAGGAGGGGAGTGATGACAGCGGTTTTAAGGGGGAGAGGAACAGAACCTGAGGAGAGGCTGGTTGACTGTGTCAACCAGCAGCGGGGAGAAGAGGGGAAGTTGGGTGACCAGCAGCTGAGTGGGGAGAAGGTTGAGGCAGGAGGTGGTGAACTTCACCTGGGAGATGGTGGTGGAGGGAGCAGGGAGTAACGGAGACAAAAGAGTGTAAGGAGGGAGCAGTAGGAAGGGGCCATGGCAGAAGGAGAGGGTGGTGTAGATGGTCTGGGGGTGCAGAAGGGGATGTAGGGGAGGAGGATGCAGCCAAGGGGATATTTTCGATCTTTGACACAAAGAAGTCTTAGGACCTCTTCACACTTGACAATAGAGGTGAAGTTGTAGGGTGTACGGGGGAGGTGATGGATGGTAGAGGACAGTGCCTTTAGATTGATTTTTGCCTCCAAAATGGTTTGGAAGTAAAAGGCAGTTTTGGGCTACGAGAGGGAGAGGTGGTAGTTGTGGGGATCTTTGATCCACAACCGGCGGTAAATTGTGAGGACGAATTAGTGCCACCTGTGCTCGAGTGTCCGGGTTTTAGTTTTGATACCGGGGGAGCGAGTGGATTCAGAGACAGACCTGGATTTCAGGGGGGGCAAGGGAGTTGAGGGTTGCAGAGAGGCGATCATTAGCAGCTTGATGGCTGCATCAGGATCACTGCGGTTGGAAGGCCAGACATAGAGAAGGTCCAAGGAAGTTTGTGAGGGACTCGGGTGGAAGCTTTTTCCAAGGTCAGAAAAAGAGGGTGAAAGCTTGGAAGAGGGGAGGGGGATGTGGGAGGAGAGGAAGATAAGGAAATGGTCTGAGATGGCCTTATCTGTATTGGATGGATCAGAAATGTCAAGGTTGTGAGTGATAACAAGGTCGAGGGGGTGGCCATGGTTGTGGTTCGGGAAGTTTATGTGGAGTTTGAGATTTAGTGTGGAGAGGAGGGCAGTGAAGTAGGGAGGAGATGGGGCGAGGGGAGTTTAGGTGAAGTTTGAAATCACCCATTATGAACAGGTGTTGAGTGCAGAGGCAGAGGGATGAGGTACAGGTAATTTCTCCTCCCCATTGGCATCCATCCAAGGTCAGATTGGGTCTGAGTTCTTGCGAGTGTGTGTGCCATAGAGGAAAATCCCTGGAAAGAATGTGTGTGTTTTTGCTGGCAGTCAGGCACAAATGATGTGGTTAGTTCACATTTTTACATCTCTTGTACATTAAAATCCATGCATCTTCATATTAAAATTGTTGACATTGTCTCCTTGGATGTGTGTGCCTGAGGGTACTCTCTACCCTCAGTTGAATCTGTAATGTCTGTTTATGTTCTGTTTTCTGAGCTTGAGTCTATGCCCCCTTATATGATGATAATCAGTGAGGATGAGAAAGCTTGGTGGTCTGTTGTCCTACAATTCCTTTTTTCACAAGAACAAAAACCCAGGATTTAAGAAATGTCTAAGGTCATCTGAAGCAGATTAGCTCTCTTGAGAGCTGACATCTGTTAAGTGTTACGAGCAAATACGTTACTATCTTGATGTCGTCCCAGCGCTGATGAGAGCACAGCACTGAAGTGCTTTATTTAGAAAGTTTGAATTCTGATTTGTCCTGAGAAAAATACAAAGTTTAAAGATTGAAGTTGAACTCTGAAATGTTGGGATAGCGTTGGAAGACCCCACGATTCCATTAGTGCTATTGGCCATGGGTAACACACATTCTTGTATGGCAAATATGAGCTGTTGTGTACTTTCTTGAAAATATTTCTTGCCCATTACGATGACCTATTTCGAGTTTTAATATTGTAAATCTAATATTTCACCTACAAGCAACCCCAAACTTATTTATTCTGTTATCTGCAAATCGATTCCACAAGAGCCTAATTTCCTCAGCATTTCAGTAAACATCACTGGATACCAGTGACATAACCTCATTGAGTCAGTGGAACATCCGAGAGACCAGTTATTTGAAGCAGTTTTGCCAGATAAGTAAGAAACGTCAACTTCCAATTTTACATTTAATACTGAGAAGCCATAGTGCAGATCAGTTTGGCTGATTATGGGGCTGAAATCGACTGCTTTCAGAATTCATTGTTTTGGTTTGACAGTTGGAGATGGGTGCTTTTACCTTAGTAGCACGTTCATAATGCTAGTCACCACTTGATAATATGATAGATTTCCATCAGACTGTGGTATAATTCGGATGATTAATTGATCCCAGTTGTATAGTGAGATAAAGATAAGGCTGTTGGCAATGTGGCTGGAGGCCTTTATCCATAAATATACAACACAAGGGAAGAGGTACAAAGAGGTACGACAATGAAACTGACCAATTTACAGTAATGTAAATTGGTATCACTTGGACCTAACTGGGGTCAGGAGAAGTTTGGGTCAAGGAGAATACCCTCTAAAAAACTGTATCCTAAAATGTAACATAAATTAAGTACAGGTTTGACTTCGCCAATGCCCTACTTGACATGCTCCCCAGCTCTTTGCAACAATAGGCTATCCAAAATTCTGCAGTCCATGTCCTCTCCCACTCTTAAGCTCTGCAAGCCTGTTGTGCCTACCCTCATTCAGTTCCAATGACTCTCCACCTCCAGATGAAGAGTTCTTCAACCCTCTCGACCCAGCCACTCTCTTCACTCAACGAACACTCTGCTTTATGTCTCTGGCCCTATCTGCTCCACCATCAGCAAATGAGCTTTCATCTTATTCTGCCCTCGCCCTGGAATTTCATCCTGGAGATCTTCTGACTCACTCGTTCCCTCCCTCCCTCGTTCAAGATCTGTCTCAACACATACTACTTTGTGCACGCTAGGTGCCTAGCCAGCAATGTTAAGTGCTTTGAGGCATCATTCCGAAGTGAAAGGTGCTGTATTCATGTTAATTGTATTGTATGATGAACCAAGACTATTTGGCTCATCAACTTCTACCTGTCCATTCACGGATGCTCCAGAATATTTATTGGAACAAAAACTCTGAGTCTAAGCTTGATTCACCCTATATTTTATCATGCCAGAAATCAAACTTCAACATTTCCAGTAGCCTATATATACATTAATTTTTGACACCAGTTTAATGTTTCTTTAAATAAAATGAACTTCTCTTTTGTTTTGTTTCTATAGCTAGATCAAAAAATATATTGGTCCATTTTCTCATCTTGAAGACCTAATAACAACCACAATAAATTACGTTTAGATAACGCCTTTTACATTGGAAGGAAGTTTTAAATGTTAGTTTATGTTGTTTGATTTGCACTCTAATTATGTTGAGATGATCTACATAACATGCATACTAAATGTATGATCTTAGAAGTATAATTTTGGTTCAGGTTGTTTTTAATCTTGCTTGTTTCATGAAACATACCGTGGTTTTGGGAATGGGGATAGTATGGCAAAGAAGTAATGTTTGATGTAGCAGCCTTCATGTCGGGGAGCCATCCAAAAGTGCTTCACAGGATATATTGTAAAATAAAATGTAGTCAGTGACTGTATGTTTTGTGGATGAAAGCCAATTTGCGCACAGCAATGTCCCACAAACTGCTATGAAGTGAATTACCAATTTATTTATGAGATTGTTGGCCAGTGTAATTAAGATGTTTTTGTTGCACACATTACTTTACATTGTCATGTATCTTATTTTTATTCTAGACGCAAGCATTCACATTTAAATGTGCCACATTTAATGCATTCCTATGTGGTTTTGTATCGGCTGCAAATGACCGAGCACTGCTTTAAATACTTTTACTACGGTAATGAACTGTGCCTCATAGTTTATGGCAGATGTAATATTTCTCATCTAATGAACCCACTCTTTTTTTCCTCTCTAGCTCAGTCCTTTAAAGAATTTGCACAGCTTCTCCATACTGTTGAAGAGGAGCGAAGAAGATTGGTGAGCATCATTTTTATTTGCCAAAGATGCATGTCAGAAGATAGATAACCTGTACCGAACCTTTTAACAGGTGGAGTTAATTTTAAACCATAAACGTATAGACATCTTTATGTCATCAGTCTGACAGGTTGGCTGAGATTTTTTATTGATGGTCAGTGCAGAGGTGTCATCTCGCAGCAGTGGCTTTATATACTATAAACCTTCCCCAGCTCCCATATGAACAGCATAAATAACGTGCTGCACTCCTGCTTATTGAATTCACTAATGTTATAAAATATTTTCTAACCTCATTATAATATCTTGCATGATTCTCCCTGTATATTTTATGTTTTGGTGACTTGCACATGTTATAATCATAAGAAAACAAAGATTGCAGGAAAGAATCAATTAGAGCAGAGTGAGCTGAGGATTGAAGAATATTATGATGGTGAAATCAGTCTCCTTAATCATATAGGTGTCAGTAATTTTCTTTTAAAATCAACCTTGTAAAATCAATTGTATTAAGTTGTGCAACACAATATAAATTTACATTTATATAGTGCCTTTCACTTTGGGAGGACTTCCCAAAGCACTTAACAGTACTGACTTGGAACCCGAGCTGGGGGCGGGAGCCGAGGTGGGGGGGGGAAAGATGACTGAAAGATGTGCTGAAAGAGACAGGATCTTGAGACGGACGTAAGCGAGATTTGGAAGGGAGTGAGTCAGAGGGGTGGTGCTCTTGAATACTCTATGGATACACTAGAATTTGTAAGATTAAGAATGTGCCCAATATTCTTTACATTTTAATTCAAATTATTGAAGTTAACATCTGATTTTTCTTGGCCAACTAATTTTTTTAGACAAATTCTTTATAGTGCGTTTGTGGTGGAAATCCGTTTTATTAACAGATTTTAATTTGCCAGTTTTCTTAAGCAGTTGGTAGAAACTAAATATGCCCTTTTTATATAAGTGCACTTGTATTAATCCTTGCAAAAAGCCTTCTTTCCCTTATTATCAGAATGCTCAAGTAGGTTGCAATGAGCATCTATTTCCATCAAAAATTTCAACAATAAAATGCTATCCATTCAATTGCTTTCTACCAGCACAAGTCGAGTGTAGAATGTTTCAGGATTAGTGTGTTTTAACTTATTTATTTCAGTATCTGAGTGACACGCTCAAACATTCTAATTATAGGTTGAGGCTGTTCCAACACAATCTTATTGAACCCTAATATATCATAACTTAATTTTTATATATACTATACTTGTATATACTTCAGTCATTCCACCTCTTCTCTCCACCCACCCACCCCCCACATACACATACATACACACGCACCTCCCTTTGTGAAATGCACAATGTTGCATGAACCAGTGCTTCACTACTGCTTCAATCACAACCAATAGTTAACTACCAATAGTTAAAAAAGACTAGGTTATGTTATGGCACTCATCATCGTGGCAAAAAATTGTCACTGACCAACTGGAGTAACTCGATCCAGTTTTCAAAGTGTTCATCGTTCAGTGGACACTCGGATGTGCAATTCTTCTCCGTGGGAATGCCTGCCATTTCCTGTATAAAATGTTCACTCGATTCAACCTCATAGAAGTCCGGCTTATGTGAAATTCTTGACCTAGAGTGTCAAGAGTAAAAACTTTGAAGGACCAGCCACCCACTCATATACTTCACTTATAGCAGCTTTCCTCGTTTTACCAGTTGTAGTGAGGTTGTGCAGGCATTTGCACGTCCAAGTTTCCCACAGTTTTTTGACAGCAATTTTAAATAGTGCATTAACCAATAAAACATATCTGCTAAGTAAGCTTAGTTAGGCCTTCGGGCAACAAAGCTATTGCTGTTTACAATGTAGGATATTTTAGTTGCCCAGGCTGTAGACATTATCAATCCTCCATGCTGGACGTGTTGAAACTCTTAACACATTGTGCCTTCATCTTGAAGGCAGTGGAGTTTCTTCTCTTTATTGGGGATCTTTAAACTGTGGACTCTTAAGTTAAATTTGAGATCAAATTTGTAAGCAGATATTGCCATCACTGCAATCTCAGATTGTGTGAGACGTTTTCAAGCTCTCTTCACCTAACTCAATATGTCTTTGTACTGAACTAAAGAACAATCCTTTGGGATAGTGCCTTATCAAGGTGACAAAATATTTCAAAGCACTTTACAAGGTTTTACAGTGTGTATCCTGATTGGCTGTAAACAGATACAAAAGGAATCTGTGTAAAAATCCCTTTGTGGGCCATTTGTGTACAAAATACTTGCATAAAACACGGACCTATTTTCGGATCTAATTCACTGTGCAAGATGGCAGTGTTAAGCATGTAAATTTATTGTATTTTCACCAAAATAAATAAGTGGCATTTGTCTTTGATCTCTCAATTCTCTTTGAAAATGGTCACTCTGTAAATGAAATGTCCAGAACCAGTGAAATATCACCTGGGATCAGCATTGACTTTGGACAGTTTGTCAAAGGATGGATCAAAGCACCATCTGTATCTTATTAGTTTCTGTGTGGGAGGGGGAAAGAGCAGAAGAACAAAACCATTCTTGCTGCAAAACACACAGTTGGGAACAGAGTTGATTTCTGTTCTGATGATGGGTCATACTCATACCTATATGTTAACCCACCTCTCTCTTTCAGATCAACTGATCAACCTGTGGATTGTCTTTTTATTAAAACTGAGTTTGTTTTTCCTCATGAGGAAAATCTTAATTCCGTTGTGAGGTTTTACTCAATTGTGGAATAAAATTCTACTCATGTTACTCATCCTCTTTGTATATTTTACCAAAACAAAAGAGACTGAATGCTCCTATGTGAAATGTAAGGTCTTAATGGTGCTGTCAACTATGTGCTACCAATAGCGTCTTAAAGACTGGTGTGCTAGTGTTTGATTGGAACTGAGCTGGGCAACAAGTAGAAACATTTGTGTTGGCTTACCTTTTTGAATTCCCCAGCTATATTAACCTTTAGTTGAATGTCACATCTTGTCAGAAATAGTTGATGATAAGTGCTAGCAGAGAAAGATACAACCCAGAATTATTGGAGGAGCGCTGCCCTTTCCCCAAAACAAACATCATTTGCAAAAGGCAAAATACTGCAGATGCTGGAAACCTTAAATAAAAACAGAAGTCACTGGGAACACCCAGCAGGTTAGGCAGCATCTATGGAAAGAGGAAAGTGAGTTAATGTTTCAGGTCGCTAACCTTTTGTCAGACCCACATTATTTGTATTACCTTAACTTGTTTCTGTTATACTCATGCTTTTTTGTTTACTGTGTGTGTCTGTGTGAGGATGTGTTTGTGTGTCAGCCTTGCTCAGTTGGTAGCATTCTCACTTCTGAGTCAGAAGGTTGTAGGTTTGAGCCCCACTTCGGGTTTGGAACTCATAGTCTAAGCTGACACTCCAGTGCTGGGGGTGTGCTGCATCGCCAGAGGTGGTGTCCTTCTCATGAGATGTTAACCCGAGGTCCTGTCTGTCTGTTTAGGTGGACTTACATTACTGTGCGCAAATTATTTGCCGCTTTCACCCACAATACCAACTATCACAGTATTTTATAAATATATCCTGTGAAGCGCTTAGAAATGTCCTTCCTGGTGTGAAAGAAGCTATACAGTGTAGCCTGACACACTCTAGCCTGGAGCTTAGTTATTCTGCCAAATATTTGAAAATCCCCACAGGCTGATATTAGCACCACACCAAGTTATCAGCATTCAAAACACTATTTTTATTCTCTCTTAAAACTGAATTATTTTCTCAGATTCCTTAAAAATATTTCTAATAACATGGGACCCCTAAACAATTTCACCATAAGGAAGAGTGCAACAAATGCTGTGCACTCTAAGTCACATAGATGGATTTGATTGACTTGTTTAGCAGCCGACTTTATGTGGCAGTAAGTATGTTTTATTTTCTCTTCATAGTTAGGGTTTGTTGGAAAATAGGCTGAAAGGAAAATGCCAGGTTTTGACATTTTTACATTTATTTTGAGATTATTAGAAATGAGCCTGCATTTTTCAGATGTGGGAAATAACTCTTGCTATTTAATATTGTCACTTATCAGTCAAAACATTTCAAGACATTATAAAAGAATTTCTGTAAAAATAGTGCAAAGTGATTTTAACAATGCAATCATGAAGAGACAGCAATTCTCATCAAATTGAAATCCCATGGCTAACCTAGGAATCGCAGTGGTGAGCTCTGAATCTGAAGTACTGTTCTCACTCGTACTGTGTATTTAAAGACTTTCTGTAAAGCGCTGGAATGGTTGGTCTTGTCTGAATCAGACAATTTTATTTGTAGAAAAAAGTGATGGCCGGGAAGTGAATGACTATTTTGACATAATTTTAATCTAATAATAAATGAAATGGGAGAAACCCACCTTTTTGAATAATGCCATGGGATCCTTAATGTCCACCTGAACAGGCAGAGGGGATCTCCATTTTAATGTTTCATCTGTAGGATGGCACCTCCAACAATGCAGCTTTCCCCAAGTCAGCCTGGAATTCGGCCCACAATATATAGTCAATTCACTTTACAGTATATTCTGTGAAGTGCTTTGAGACGTCTCAAATTTTCATGATCTTCGCATATATCAAATGCAAGGATTATTATTATAAAATCCTGACATGGGGCTTGAACACTCAGGCTTCTGATTCGGAGACGAGCATGCTACCAACTGAGCCTAGCAGACACCTGGTTTTGTAATGATCAAATTTCCCTTGCTTAGCACCGCAAGCAATCATGATTTTGTTGTTCAGTTCGCATCCCATACAAATCTTGCATTGTCTGAATATCTGGTAACAGAGCAATTTTTACCAGTAACTTTTTGTCATTGCCACCCACTATATTGTCTGAATTGGACAAGACCACTTCAATGATCTGAGAGAAAATCTTAGTACATTACAATGTAAAGCACAATGGAAGTGAGAACAGTGCATAGATTCAGAGAGCTCAGCATTGTGATTCCTGGGCTAGTATTGGGATTTAAATTTTCCTGCAAGTTGCT